CTCTCCTTTGTTTAGTTTGTCATCAGTTTTGCATCCAGTCTACTGTTTACCAACATTTATTTATCACCTAAATATGAATTCTAACAGAATCATTTACTCTCGTAACTTTATTAATCATTTACGACCAAATGACTTTCATATTCCAAAGAAACCAAGGAGGAAACATCGTAGTGGTTGGCAGAGAGCTCTCAAACGTACACCAATACACTTAACTACGGTCCCCGTCATAATGAACACAAACTGCCGCTCTCTGCCAAACAAGATAATGTACCTACAATCCTTGATGTCCACTGATACTTATCATAATACTGCCATAATCACATTACAAGAAACGTGGTTGCATGAACTGTATGATGACAACCTTATCTCACTAAAGGACTTTATTTTATTTCGTCAAGACCGTCAATGTTGTAATAAGAAAAATGGTGGTGGCGTTGCAACTTTTATTCACTCCAAATGGTCTGTCTCAAATAACGTCTGCTTCACCTTCTCAAATGACTTCATTGACTGTATTACTGTCAAATGTCACCCCAAATATAAACAAATCTATATTACAAACATGTACATTTCTCCTAGTTGCTCTCCATCTGATCTATCTAATTTTGCTGATGAATTCACCATGTTTGCTGCTGCCAACTTCGACAACTCTCTATCCGTTATTACTGGGGACTTCAACTCCTCAGATTGCTCCTTTCTTGAAGCTCTTGGTCACACAAACATAGTCAAATTTCCCACTCGACTTGACAAAACACTCGATCTAGTTTTTACTAATGACGAAGGAGTATATGAAACACGTAGACGTTCACCGATACTAAACTCCGATCACTGCATTGTCCGTGTTTTGCCAAAAATATACAGCAAAACACATATTAAAATCTTCTCACACCTGTCTACGAAAGCACAACAAAGATGCTACACATCTGACAACCTACTCAATCTAAGATGCATGTTAAAAAATACTAACTGGGATCTATTCTATGAAAGTACATTAGATGACTCAATCACCAATATAATGGATTATCTTAAGTTCTGCCTCGACATATGCTGTCCCAAACAAACACTGTTCAAACGCCTCGACCGCTTCTCGTCTCCCCATCTCAAACAACTTCGCAGGCAAAAAGAAATGTTATATAAATGCAAAGACAAGTTAGGACTTAAAAAGATTAATGCTCAAATCAAATCTGAAATCAAAAATCTTAATGCTATCTATAACCAAACACTTTTATCATGCAAATCTCCTATCAGCATGTGGAAATTTTTCAATGAAATTACTGGCAATAGTAAGCGATGTAATGTTTTTCCCTCTTGTGATGTTAATGCTCTTAATCTGTCTTTTATACGCTCTCCTTCTACTATAACCACTTCTAACGTTACTAATCTTGTAGCTGATAACTTCCAGGACTTTAACACTCTTGATGTTTTAAAATGTCTTAAAACTCTTAAGCCCTCATATAGTCTTGGCCCTGATGGCATACCTGCATATGTTCTAAAACAATGTGCAGATGCTTTATGTTCTCCTCTAACTAATATCCTAAATGCTTCTTTCTCCGAAAACGTTGTACCTGTTCCATGGAAAGACATTAAAATAGTCCCTGTCCCTAAACCTGGAAATAGCAAGAACGTAAAGTTCAGACCCATTGCCATCACTTCCCCGTTTCTAAAGCTCATGGAAAAACTAGTACTTCTTAAACTCGAACCCTCCCTTAAAAGCTTCGAAGACCCCAAACAATTTGCCTACAGACAGGGTAGGAGTACTTTAGACGCTGCAGCCGTCTTACACAACAGTATCGTCTCATCATTAGATAAAGGTGCCAAATATGTCCGCTGCACGTTTCTTGACTTCACTTCTGCTTTCGACTCTGTACCTAGATGTCTCTTGCTAAATAAGCTCTCCATGACACAAACCGAGTCCTGGGTCACTAACTGGTTGCATTCCTACTTTTCAAACAGAATGCAGTACACCGTATACAAAGGCGAATCCTCCTCTGCTGTGCTCACTGAAGCTGGTGTCCCCCAAGGTGCTGTACTCTCCCCACTTCTCTTTTCATTCTTTCTACATGACCTACCATCTTCAAATGACATTAACTTTGTCAAATATGCTGATGACCTAACTGTATCTTTACCTGTCAAATGTCAAAGTGACTGCTCTAAACTAAATGGCTTTTTATCAGAAATCAGCCAATGGTCCAAGGAAAACGGTCTCACCTTAAATCCCTCCAAATGCCAAACAGTTAATTTCACCTTTAGGCACAAATCTGACCTAAACAAACTGGTTAGCACTCACGAGGTGTGCAACATAGATGGCACTGAAATAGAAACCAAGTCGGAAATTAAATACCTAGGCGTCACTCTATCTGTCGATCTTTCCTGGTCGTCTCATATCTTGACGATTTCTAAGAACAGTGGTTAGGACTCCCGCCAACCATGCACATGGTCCGGGGTTCGAGTTCACGCCGACGCACACCTTGATATCTATGGTCGGCCTGCGAAATTTGGGATACCGATATCCATGCTGAAAATTCCATACTTGTACTAAAAATACAGTGTGGAATCAAGCTGTAATCAAAACAAAAATAAACAAAATAAAAAATGAAAATATTCCGTCTTACCTTCTACATCAAGAAGTTAATACATTCTGGTGTAACCCAACCCTTACTACTACAATTTGTTAACTTCCGTATTCTGCCTAATATTCTCTATTGTTCCCCCTTAATCTTTCCTGGGCTATTGAAGAAAGACTATACTTTATTACGTAGGATGTTAAAGGTTGTCAGCAGGGCAAGGAACGTGCCACTTAACCAACTTGTTAATATTCTGGTCTACTGGCACATGGACTCATGTGAAAAATGGGCGAAATCCATTTTATCTGACTCACAACACCCTCTACATTCACAACTCTCCTCATGTATCTCATCAGTCAGAACCAGAAGCCTGTATAGAAAATTATATGATCGCGTGATGTTTTCTCTTAGATTTATTAGATGCATGAAAGTAATATGGTTTGAAACGTTTAATGAATGAATTACTGTATTTTATGCGATTTGTGATCATATTTTCTTAAAATCAGGAATGAAAACATGACTATTAGATGCAATATGTAGATGCAGGAAAAGGTAGCCCAGATGTCAAATAGGCCGCCGTTAAGAAAAGATGGCCATGAGACTATTTAAATATCATTTAGAAATAAAGTGTTGTTCAAGACATAGCTTTATGAATAAAAAATAATGGTCACTTTTAAATACTAAATTAAGTTGAGAAGGAGAGGCATATAGCATTACCTACCCTGGAGCGAAATGATACTGTTTATGATCTACCGTAAATGACTTTAAAAAGGAGAGCAAGGCAAGCACCTCTTGAAAGCTTTATTGTAATATATCCGAGCGTGGAGACAAGCCAATATGTTTAAGGAATAATATGAAGGAGCTACAAGTTAAGCATTGTTTATGAAAGGATAAGTAGTAAACACCAGAAGTCCAGTAGAGTGGGAACGCAGTAACGGTAGCTATCAATAAATAGTTATTTAGACGTAGTTAAGATACTATTGTGCACACATCAATAATTAGTAAAACTGAAGAAAAGAATGATAAGATTGTTGACGTCTAATAATCCATGTGTACCTCGTTACATAGTCAAAGACCAGATGGTACACCAAAACACAATCACTGACTATTGTCCAATTTAAAGTATACGATCGGTAAGTACTAACACGTAAGAAATAGGGATTTTCACAGTGACCAAGAGAGCACCTTATTTTTTGATTTATAAATGAACTCCATAGACCAACCTTAACTGATAGTTTTTTGTTCAAGTTTTAAGGTTCATCCAACACCTAACTGAAGCTGGTTGTGGCTATATCGACCAGGTCATGGCATTGAGTGGTAATTAGAAAATGTTCGGTAGATATTTTCTACTTGCTAAATTGAAGCTATTACTTTATCAGTTAGCTACTAGATTATTTTGTGGTGGTGTGACACAGACAATGTGTCGACGGAATCTTATTCTCACATATTCCCACAGTTGAAATCGGCATTAGTAATAGAATAAGATATATCTATTTGAACATTCAATTTCATGTCGTTTAATGAGAACCGAAAATACAAGCTCAGTCGATTGGTTAACGAATATAAACTGTAGATATACAAACAGCGGTTTGACTAATGAAAAATATAACTTTGCTTTGTGCTGTTACAATGTGACAATACAGAATACTAGCTACTCCACCCATCAAGAAGTCATATCCACGCTAGTGGAGTGTCGGCATCTTGGTGCAGAAATTATGGGACCATTCACCTTCGGAGAACTCAACTCGTGAAGCTAGAGTATTTGATATGTTGAGAGTAGTGTGATATATTCTATGGTATAACCACTACAAATAGCCGATATCAGGAAGTTTAAGGTATTTTTTTTATTTTTTATTTTTTTTTTTTATTCAACTGTCATCGCAGTAGTTTCATAAGAGATGAACATTTTTATCACAAAATAATTGTAGTTCATTTCTCATAAATGTGGACAGGAATATGAAACGCTGACTGTTATATATAAGTTGTTCTTCTTCTTATTCTTAAGCACGCATTTATCTAAAGAATTAGAATATTGTTAAACACGTTAAATACACCACCATCAAGTTCGTGTATCAATTTGAATTTCTTTCTGCTAAGAACAATGTGCTTACATTAGTCTAAAGGATAGTTAGATGGTTCTCGCCTTCGAATACGTATATATGACAGTGACAGATAGTTTTACAAAGATAACATTTAGGTATAGAAACAAATCGGCAACACATTTTAACACATATGTATAATCTTGTTTCATATCTATCCACATTGATATGTTTGAAAATTAGCAGCGTTAAAATTGTTTCTAATATATAATAGCAACCAGAATGAAAACAAAATATACAATAGGACTAAAAGTTGAAAAACACATTTAAAAAGGTTTAAAACGTTGTTCACAAGTATAAAAATTTGATTCATGAATATAAAAAGAGATGTGAGTAGAGTTCAAGTGTTTGAAGAAGCTGCAGCAGCAGCTGCTGCCGCTTGTGTTGCAGCTACAGCTGCAGCTCGTTGAGCACCCCAATGAACATAATCTGGTCGAGTTGCTGCACTATGCTCCTCGATTAGATTATGAACTACTTGTCTACTGTCAGAAAATTCCTTCAAATCAGGATCATCACGGAACACATCCTCTTTACGGAATTGTTCAATGAAGGCACCACGAGTACGTAATTTATCATATTGAGCTAAAGTACGAAGAAACAGCTGTGAATAAATAAAAAAAGATCACGGGTAAAGTCGTTAGTTACTCAACTATCTAAGTGGATAATGAAATGCTAACGAAAAACCTAAGATAAATTGGTAGAAGCAAATTGAGCCGCAATTTTTGATCGTTGGGCTACCTAAACTTCCATCTAAATATTACATCTAATTTATAGTGTGCAATTTCTCTTATCCTATGATACTTATCACAATATGGCTGTAATCACACTACAAGAAACTTGGCTTCGTGAACTTTACGACGATTACCTCGTCCCGCTTAATGGTTTGACATTATCTACACAAGATCAGCTTTTTTCCAAAAAGAAGTGTGGCGGTGGGGTAGGGTTGCAACTTTTATTCATTCTCAGCGATCAATTTCAAACAATGTTTTACATTTTCAAGTGACTTTATTGACTGTATTATAGTCAAATATCGTCTCAAACATTTAAGTTAGCCCTGGTTTTACCCTCTCGAATCTATCCAATCTTGCAGACGAATTTACAGTTCGCGCTGCTGCTTGTTTTGAGAACTATCAATATTTAGTGGAGACTTCAATTCCTGCTGCTGTTATTTTCTTGAATCACTAGGTCACGTAACCATTGTTAACTTTGCTACTTGAGTTCATAAAACATTTGATTTAATGTCCGTAAACGACGTTGGAGTATATGAAGCACGCAAACATGCCCCAATACTGAATTCTGATTATTGAATCATTCGAATGTTGCCTAAAATATATGGTAAGTCATGTACAAGTGTCTTCTCTCACCTTCCTGAGAAAACGCAAAAGAGATGTTATTCACAGAACAATATACACAATCTTAGATGCATGTTGAAGGACACTAACTGGGATCTATTTACTGAGCATATACTGGATGACATAATCACAAAAATAACTATCTTAATTGCTGTCTCAACATCTGTTGCCCGAAACAAACACTCTCCAGAAGATTTGACCGCTTCTCTTCTCCTCATCTAAAAAAGCTACCTAGAGAAAAGAACGGTTACACAAGTCTAAAGATAAATCTAGTCTCAAAAGGATTAACACCTTAATCAAATCTGAAATCCAAATTCTGAGTACTATCTATAATCAAAGACTTTTATCACATAAGATTCTCTCACACAAGTGGACACATTTTAGTGAAATTACTGGTGGTGATAAGCAAAGTACTATTGTGGTGAGAGCTGGCTGTTATTCGAAATTGGTAGACAGTAATTTATGTCAGTGTTTATGTCCCCAATATTGGTCGTGAGAAAAATGAGAAGAAAGGCTTTGCGTAGGTGGATACAGTTAACATATAGATGATCTGTTGCCTGGTCCTTGTCTTCTTTTGTTACACTATTATTCACACACTCACCTTCCGATGTTATCATTCCCAATGATACAAATCGCAAGGTTAGTAACTTTCACGGTTTTAATACTCTTGATATTCTCAAATGTCACAAATCTCTAAAACCTATCCAAAGCCTTGGTCCTGATGGTGTACTTGCTGTTGTCCTCAGATGTGCTGATATTCTATGTTATCCTCTTATGAACATTTTCAATGATTCTTTTTCCAGTAATGTTGTACACGTAACGTGGGAAGACATTACAATTATCCCAGTTCCTAAATCCGGTATTGGTGTGAATGTTAAATTCAGACCTGTTGCAATTGTTTCTCTTATTTTGAGATTAATGGAGAAATTACTTTTACTCAACCTTAAGAAGTTTCAATGACCGCACACGGTTTGCATATAAACAGGGCAAAGGTATTTTAGATGCTGCTGCCGTCTTATATCGAAATATTGTCCTTTGCTTAGACAAAGGAGCTAAATATGTTCGATGTACCTACTTTGACTACGCATACACTTTTGATTCTGTAAACAGATGCCTTTTGTCAAATAGACTTTCTCTGACACAAACCGAATCCTGGGATGTTAACTGGTTGCATTCTTATTTCTCGAACATAATACAGTATACTGTGCATGAAGGCAAGTCTTCCTCTACTTTGCTTATTGAAGCTGGAGTCTCTCAAGGAGCTGTTCTTTCTCTTTTTTCTTCCTTCTTATATGACTTGCCTCTTTCTGAAGAAACTTCGTTAAATACGCTGGTGATTTGAGTGTGACAAACTTAACAGCTTTTTGTCGGACACAAGCCAGTGTTCGAAGTCAAAAGGTCTCACGTTGGATCCCTCTAAATTTCAAAACAGTTAACTTCACCTTCAGCCATAAACGTGATCTACAAGAACTGGTTCGTTCACAAAATGTGTGTAGGAAAGAGGGCGCTGAAATACAAAACTAAGTCAAACATAAAGTACCTTGGATTAGTTCTATCCTGTGACTTGTTTTGGTCATCCCATATCTTGTCAGTTTCGAAAAAAATGTTGCGTCCAATACTTTTTTACTTTAAGAAGTTGAGACAGTCAGGAATCACTCAACCTCTACTTTTACAATTTGTTTATTCTTGTATATTACCTATTGTTCCTTATTGCTCTCCCTTAGTCTTTCCTGGGCTACTCAAGAGGACTGCATTATATTGCGAAGGGTATTAACAGTAGTCAGTGGAACAAGTATTGTGCTGTTAAGTCAGCTCATTACTACTGCATTCGGCAGAACTAGATTACATGCTCGCACAACCAAGTACAAAAAATCAACGATACCTTATTTGGCCTGAGTTTTGTGTGACAGAGATTGTTAAGGGTGAAACTTACAACTTACTATGTACTTAGCAAAACAAACGGCTCCTTTATCTTCTCCTATTTGTAATTTATGGTGACATAATTTCAGTCACCTCATACTGAAATTATTATTTTACACTTTTTGTATATATTTTAAACAATATTACCACTGCTTATATTAAAAAGTTGCTGTTGCTAATTTTGGCTACCTATATCCTGTAATATATTTCAGCTGTTGTTGAGTAAATCAGATGCAATATTGTACCAAATGGTGAGAATTTCACGCTGTATTATAAGTACTGTTTTGGAATAAGGCAAATCAATCACTATTATTATTATTATTAAAGTGTAGAAAATATTTGATCAGCAGATATAATTACCACTTAGAAATGTCGACAGAATACCTGATACTCTGAGATTTTATCTATCTAATTCAAAGTATTTGTCATACTGATAATACCTTTCTCTGTGCCTCTTCTACAAAGACATTTAATCAATCAGGGATATGCACAGGATGTCATCGCCTTATTCAACTACTACTACGCATTTTACCATATTGTGGATAATTTATGCGTGCAGATTGTAGTGTAAAATATGCGGAGTCCCTTGAAAATTTGTTGTTTTTACTTCACACATTTATTTGTAAAAATCAGCGATTTAACAGTGGTCTGTAGTTAGACCCGATTTCTCTAGAGAAAAATGAGTTGCTGAAGAATTCATTGTCGCTGTATGTTCTGAGGAGTTCAATTATTGATTTCATCTGAATTGACAGTAAAAATAGTTACCTAACCACTACATGTAACATCCAACACAGTTCAATAAGAGATTAATTATAAGCGAAATAATTCTGTAGTAGTCTCCCTGATGGTACCAATGTGTTGCGTAGGTTCAAAGGTTTGGGGTAGCATCAAATTCTTTAGTGTTACAGGTATATCCTATTGCCAAGCGTCAGATGGCAAGAAAACTAGATATAGGGTATTTTGCCGAATACCCACTCTTCCACTATTAATTAGTGTACAACACCTCAGCGAAATAATAATCTGCTGATCACTTACAGGAAGTCACAATCAACATATTCAGAAACAAATACGAGCTATAAAGAACTTATCATTGATATGAAAAAGCACTGTGACATGGTAATAGGATGAGTTAAAATCAAATACAGTAATACTTACAGTAGATATACTTGTATTATTTGCAAGCAAAAGACCACTAACACGATGTGGTGTTTGTACATATGGAGATCGCCTAGACAACGCAACTTGAATACTGGCTGGACCCCAAGGGATAAATTGGGCCATACGACGTTCTCGAATACGCTGCAATGACTTATGTACTTCAGTAGGATCTACTTCTCCTGAAAAAGTATTTGAATGTGATTTGAATACAGCATTATCAGGTAAAAAATTTATTGAAGTCAATAGGGTTGGTTCCAAATAAAATTTAAAATATAATGAAACCAAAATTTACTATTTCATTATTAACAGTAGTCAGTGGAGCAAGTATTGTGTTGTTGAGTCAGCTCATTACTACTGCATTCGGCAGATAGCTGAATTCATATGAAGTCCATGTTGTCCGACTCTCAACATCCTCTCTACTCATAACTCTCCTCTTGCATCTCATATTTCATTATTATTTCAAAATTAGGAATAATAAAACTTGTGCACTGTATTAGAGTGTAATTCGTTTTATAATTCCATTATTTGGAATAATAATAGAAATGGAATTATACAAACGAAGTTAGAAAGTTGTGTAAGTACCTTAATATGATTATGAGCAATAAATTGTGCTCGAAACGTCACTAGTAAATATTACTGTATAACACTGTGAGACTTTATCAAAATGAATTTTATCCATAATAGGAATGATAACATTTGAGGGTATAATAGACTAAATGGTTTGTCATAAATACTACAGATGAAATTTGTCTACTTGCAAATTATAAGCAGTACAATTCTTTAACAGTGTGAGACGGTATATGTTAAGGATATTCGAAGTTATTTCCCATTGTGCATTATCACTAGAGTCAACGAACATGAAAAAACTAAATATGGGATGCATTTTATGTCAACAAAGAGAGGCAGACTGCCTAAGTTACTGGGTTGTCGAAATTTCCATCCATCATGATGCTTAAACTTTTCTGAGTTTACATTAATAATCCCCATCTAGAGATAAAACAAAGATTTCAGCGAAGTAATTTCTATTTTTCACGATTTTATTTCCATAGCTGTACAATCGTAAGTTTATATAAACTACAATTAATACACAAGCAAACAAGAAAAATAATTGTTGTTGTCCATTGTAAATCATATATGAATACGACTGCACAGCTATGAAAATGAAGTCGTTGAAAAAAGAGAAATTACTTCGCTGAAATCTTCTTCCTTATTGTTCTAACCATGCAAATATATCCATTGATCACTACATGTACTTGTGTACATTTTTAATTAGCTTTTGACAAAATGCTGTACAATTCTTGAAGGAACCGAAAGAAAAACGTTGTAGAGAATTGAATCTCTCTTCATATTGGAATAGCACTGGATCATATGATATACTTGTAGATCTCCTGAGAAGAGGATGTAATTCCCAGCTGAAAACTGGCGCACTGTGTTAACACATTGTCCGAAATAAAGTATTATTATTATTATCATGCAAGGATAACAGACGTACATTTTTGTCAGAAAACTTGAGATTATCCTAGTTTTAACAAACTTGTTTGTTGTAAAAGTTAAACCACATTTGTAGTTCACTTGGCTAAGGGTTGAACCCGTAGTCTATAAACCTGTCACCATTTAGATTTCCGCATCAACTTCAATCATCATCCACATAGGATTATGTTTCACTAACCCGCTTTAATATTATTAGATTTTATGACCTGGAAATCTTCAGAGGATAAAGCTGTACAAAAAACATAATACGTTTAAATTAATTTTACCAGTAAATTACCAATATTGGGAAAGAGGCAATAATACACAGATATAGTCCAGCTTAAAGATTTAGTACTATAAAAGATCATTATCACTATCTCTTATGCAACCCATCAGTTTAATACTTTTAAGTGAGCTCAAGAACCAGATGGATGGTTGTAGTTTCTTTATTAGTTGTTAAAATCGACTATCGATTAAGACTATTAAACTAAACATGCAGATATTTGAAATAAGATAAATATGAGAATTTTTATAGAAAGTAAACAAAGGTGTTTATTGAAATAATTATATAGAAATAATAAATTACCTTGTATAATATTTAATATTGAAACATAACAATGACTAACACCACGTTGTGTTGGAGTAGAAACCATCATATTTTTAGGCTGTAATAAACGCCTCATAACATCAAATACAGTTGTACGTCTTACTGTTGCAACTTCCGTATCTGTTGTCAATGGAGTGTAACCAGTCATTAAGAAATGCAATCGTGGAGTAGGCGTCAGTGGAGCAATTAAACCGATTAGATCATTGTTCATATAACTTGGATAACGTAGTGTGGCTGTACTTGCAGACATTACTTTGGAGACCTTTATTTTTAAAAATGAAGCACAACGAAAACAGATCAATGTCAATAATTTACACAGAATAATCTGGTTAAAAAGAGTAGCGTGACAAGGTTAGAGGTATATCAGTACGCACCAATCTGAGGTTTACAGCGATCAATACTGACAACTACTGGAGTATGTAAAGTTATTATCTAGAGAACATGCATTTTAACTGTCTTGAAGTAATTAGTGGAGGCCTGTCTCGACTTATAACCTCATAATGATGATTCATTTCTTAGGGTACAATTTTTTTTAGATGAAACAACGGTGAAAACAGTCAGAGGTATTTATGTGAGAAAACCGAAGTGTGAAGATTTTTCTCAGAAGATCTGAATCACAGCACACAATAACAAAATAAGGGAGAGAACACATACAACTATTGTGAACAACGCTGGGTAGCAACAGTAAAAGCGAGGAGGCGATCAAAACATATTAGCTAGAAATTATTTATATCCATTGAAGAACATCACCAAAAACGCTTAGATTATTGAAATATTTTTAAAACAAGTGGTTAAAATAATGAACCAAACACTCTAATGAGTTTGTCTGATCTTTCAACTCTCTAATCAGATACAGAAGGCGAAGCCATTTTGATGCGATCACTATGCAACGATGATTTTGGTAGCTACTCAGAAACACTATATTGACCAATTGAGGAAATATTTGCAGCGTGTGTTTCTGTATATTGGTCACAAAAATCATTGAAGATAGGGGAAAACGAATCCGAAAAAGCTAAATAGATTTAAGCTCGGACAGGAATGCATCCATTAAACCTTCACCCGTTGACAGGTATCAGAACACAAAAATGCTTACTGGTGGCGAAACACTTGTCACTTCTTAATCTGAAAGCAGCATTCGATGTCATTGATCAAGGCGTGCGGTAACAATGTAGGATTGACAAGAAAGTGCCGAGAAACCATGTTATACTAGTCAAGACGGTAATCAAACTCATGTACCTGCATAAGAGATTTTAAACAGAACCGTCACCTAAAGTGACTTAATGAGTAGTGTCACTATTTTTACCTAATTTCATTAGAGATAAGTTTTTAGCAACTGATTCGCTATCAAGAGAAGAACGAGTTCACTTAGGTGTAGAAGACAAAATTCTTTTGTTTGAAGGCACTGAAGAAATAGTCTTCTGCACATTCCAAGGGAAAACCATATTTTCGGCATGTGTTTTTTCCAGTTAAATGAAAAATGATGTTACTAAATGGTCTGTGCTGAGTCTTAGTTTAAGTATAGGTGATGTCTACTATACCAAGCAACAGGTTCCTAAGCTGAAGCGTACAGTGCAACCGAAGCAGTTGGAGATGTTATATATGTTTCAAAATAAGTCTAACTGAAGACGTATCTATTTCTCATTATACGGATTTACACAGATAATTAGTTCCACATAATAAGACTTTTTAACTTAATTCAAAGTCTTTTTCCCTTGCTTTTTTAGGACAAATGTTAACTATTCTTTACAGAATTTGAAAAAAAGTCACTGAACAACCAATTGCAATTCCATGAAGTTGGTAATGAATCACAACTATTGTATATAAGGAATAGTGATACTAACTGACCACCCACACCTCGGTAGGTGGAGTGGGATTTTGATCCGTGACCAAGTGGTTGGAAGTCGAGCACTTAGACTAATGGAGCCTCAAATTAGAGTTTACACACAAAACTGACTGAAAACTCAAAAGGAATCGATGATAATTACCAACTGGTTGATTTGCGCAAATGATGGATTTTCAATGTGTAAACGATCTGTAGCTATCCGGTGTAGAGCAGTATTGTCCAGAACAACCTGGAAGAAAAAAAGAGAAAGTAACGAAAATGTCAGTATGTGCATATGTGACCGATATTACTTTGGTGTAATAAAAATAGTTGTATTCATTGTAGTGACATAGTTAAGTATTCATCACCTAGGTACACCCTGAAGTGGAAGAGTATGTAATATTTGTTTCCACTTGTGGGTATGCAGTATAATGCTTATGTGAGTAGGTTAATAGGGTCCTCATAACCTGGGTGATAATAGTCACTTCATGAGTTTAAGAAAAAATATGAGTCAAAAAATATCTAACAGACGCCTAAATTAGCATAACTTGAAATGTAAGAAGAAAAAGGTGGATATACGCTAACAGTTTTAAAGGTTTTGATTATGTTTGAGTTACAGAACCTTTAAATCTTTGGTTTTTTTTATCAAATTCTTCTTAATTTATTTTTGTGGATACACCAAGAACATAACCCCCTTTAGATGACACTAAAACATTTGACCTGGCAAAATTCAGCACTATTTTAAGCAGAACAAAGAGGAGTAAATGCATTATAATACAGTTACTTTAAAGATAATTCTTAATACACTGGAACTCACCACACAGTCAGCATTCAAAGTCAAACGTTTCAATGTTAACAAACTATTATAAGGTTGAACAACAACATCGCTAGTCTCTTCTAAGTTTGGAAAAACTGAATAAGTTTGAATAAGTTTCTTAGGAAAGTGTGAATTAAGACGTTCGAGGATAAATGAACCCATTCCAGATCCTGTTCCTCCAGCGATTGAGTGAGTCATAACGAAGCCCTGGTTAAGAAAAAACCAAAAAGTAGATCAGTTACAAGAATAGATGAAATATAGACCAGTGATATACTGACTACTAGAAAAATGAACAAAGGGCTATTTAATTCTGAGTTTAAAATTTACCGACTGCATAATTAATTTTAGGAGATTAATGCAACAAATTAGTACTTACAATGATTTGATATACAACATGCCCACAAATGAGCTTATTGATGAGGGGTCAATGGATTTTATGTTATGATAAATAAACTATATGAATCGCATATATACTGAGTTCTCCAACGTCTCTCTCTATAACCTAATTAATTTAGATGAACTATTACTATTCTTAAAGAGCACCAAAATTTCATGGATGACTAACGACAGAATAAAGTTTCGAGTCAAGATTTCACCATTTTATAATGAACAGTTTATGAATATTAAGACAAGAAAAGAAATAAGGACTACACTGAACTAATTAGTATTAAGTATACAAACAAAACATCCCACTCTCTGTTCGAACAACCAGAGTAGAGTCAAGTTTATCTAGAAGACATACGTTGAACTTATTACACATTATTATTCCCTTGGGTTCCAAGTGGAACATAGGGCTTCAACAACACATTTCCACTTTGTTCTATTTTCTGCCGTTCTCTTCAGCTGGGTCCACAATTGCCCATAATCTCTCATTTCCTCTTCGCACGATCCCCTCCATGTCACCCTCCCACTTACGACCCACTCATTGCTTTCCATTTGGATTCCATTCGAGCAGTGGCCTGGTGAGCGATGTCATTCGACGACCTCCTAGGCGCGTGTCCGATCCATCACCACTTTTTCCAACATATTTGTTGGCCGATCGGCTCTTGGTTGGTTTGTTCCTATAGTTTCCTGTTGCTAATTCTTTCTGGCCATTTGATCTTCAGTATGGAGCGAAGACAGCTGCTGATAAAAATCTGTAACTCGTTGGAAATCTTTTTGGTGACACGCTGGCCAAGTTTCTGACCCATATAGAAGTACTGACTGACTTCACAACTGTGTTGAAAATCCGAATCTTTTTCTTTATGCTGAGCGCAAAAGATTTCCAAACTGGTTTCAGGTCGATAAAAGCGTATCTTGACTTTCTGATTCTGGTTGGCTTTTAGATCTTCATCCATTCGACCACCTGTGGTTGAAACCGTATTTCCTAGATAAGTGATATAAGTAACCTCTGTAAAACCTCTCCCGTTGATGACTGGTGCTGGTTGTTATTGCTTTTGATTGGTTGGTTATCTTCATCACCTTTATGTTCAACTGGAGTCTTGTATTCACTGTTTCTTCAACCAGTTTGTTGCTTTTCGCCTAAAAGTCTTCGAGTTTGTGTGACATTAGATGTAAATCCTCTGCGAAATCCAGATCTTCTAGTCTTCTTATCGGTGGTCCAGCGTATTCCTGTCTCCTCACTCCCAACTCACAGTCTGACGCATGATCCAGTTCACCGCATATTATTAAACATATCAATCACAAAACTTTGGCAGAAACGATAGTGAATAATAAAATGAAATAGTAAAGGATACTGTTTGAAGAACTATCCTTAGAACAATGCATTTAATGTTTCGTATGAGAAAAAATATAGACATGTTCTAGTATTTGCTATTGATTTCGACAAATATTACTATTAATAATAAATCTGTGTGCACGTTTATGAGGTAACAGTACTTCTTGTTCATTTAAAATTCAAAAGGCAAAGAATTCCACATAATGGAAGTCAAATATTTAAATTCACGTACAGCGCTACTATACTCTTTTGGATTTAATCGCTGATGTATTGTGAGCAGCAGCTAAGAAGAATCAAATTTCTATTCGTATTTTTTCAGTAAAACTGGTTCTACATTGCTATTTGGGAGTAGATACTTAACAGAATGATACATTAAACACATTGTGATTTAAACTATTATGAATAAGTACCTTGGTAACCGCATTCACTGCTTAGCAATCTGATGTCAGTTTTTTCATAACAAACTTAAACTTAAAGGATAATTAATGAAGCAACGCCTAATATTTAGCAAGACTAAAAAGTACATTAGTTTTTTAATGTTAGACAATCTTTCTTACTTCCAAGCTATCACTTCCTTCAGCTTCACGGTCAATAATATCAAAGACCTCTTCTTCTAATTTTTCACCTTGTGTAAATCCGGCTGCCCAATTATTTCCAGCACCACCTCCATGTTTAGATAAATAAACATTTTCTGGATTATATAGCCGGGCATACGGTGAAGATAAGATTGTATTGATTACACGTGGTTCCAAGTCTAATAAGACAGCACGAGGAATATAATGGGCATCATCTGCCTACAAAAACCACACCCAATGAAAAAATATAAAAATGACTTCTTTTATTATAATGACTTTGTTATTTAACAGCTACTTGTGGAAAAGAACTATCTGCCTACTAATAATGCCTTTTATTAGTCATAAAACAGCCTAAATAGACTAAAATGTTGTATGAGTTGGAAAGAACCTGCAAGCCTTAGTCATAATACATACATCAACTAATTTGCATAAACTTGACACCAGGAGGTATGCTACACGAAGACAATAAGGAAAAGAAAAATCATATAGCTAGGGAATGACAATGAAAATGGGTAGGAATGCTCATTAAAAATGTTCAGAAGAACGCTCGTTACCTTCAGAAATAGAAGAAAGGGGGAAGGTGTTGTATATTCACCAATGATCTCGATTCTCAGCCATATCTAACATTGTATCAAGTGATTGAGTCGCGTGTCATGTCATACAATATTCAAGGAGTCGTTACGCACCAACGAGTGCTGGCCCCATGGTCTAACTACCTCTGTTTTTTTCGACCAGCTTCAGGATTGGTTAAGCAGTGAATGATATTAAAGCCCTTGTGATGACATTCGTAGCGACTGTATTAATACTTGAGTCGGATGTGGCAAGGTAATATTACCACCATCGTTAAACTACGCATTACGTATCTCTGAGGTAAGTAACCAATTGTTAAGACAACCAAAATGTACTTAAATTTATATTAGGAAGAACGCGAATGCAGCACTAATCTCTAATCACGGAAATTTTTACAGTGATATGTACGATAAAAGTGACTCAGATTTAGAAGATAGGCTAGAAGTAATGAATTTGAGCACAAACCATTTACTTCATTAACCACCTCGTTTGAGACTTTGGTTAACCAAAAGACTTTTAAAAACTAAAAACTACTGAATTGAACTTAACAACATATATTGACCAAACACTAGTTTTCAATTACTTTTACGAAAAAGTTACCAAAGTGCGTTTGTTGAAGGATCTGCATGACAACTGAAACACCAAAATAGTTGAAAAACTGACTATTATGCTGTAGGACGTTTTGTCCCTTTAGATTTATAGGGATTCAAACTGCTTTGTTGAATAATTTCTCTAGCCATCCTTTGCTTTTCAAGCATTATTGGTATTACTCTGTTTCCAATAAAGCAATATGCATAGTACAGACAAATAATGAAACTAATGTGACTAAAGCATATGATATAGGTAAACGGTTTGACGTTTTTGAAGGTGCGGTACTTGGCTACAGCCGTTTCATCACCGGCCTTGGTAGCATCTTTACTACTGATATCCTAATGAAATTTTCAATTACATCACGAGCTAAAAATCACCTCCATTTGTGATATGTATTAATTTTGAAACCAACAAATACTCGCGAATTGAACTCCTGCAGTCCTAGGGTTTTGTAGAAAACACATGTAAGCGTACACATACAAGTTTATGCTGCATAACCGGGTTTGTGTGACTAGAAACAATGCAAAAGAAATTTTGCATCCAAACCCAAGGTATTTAGACCGATCCATGAATCGTTTCGGATGTGGAGATACCGGACGAAAAAGAACATAGAAATGTAAGGAATACAATGGAACCTCGTTACATATATCTTTAACAAACTTCGAATATCTGCAAAATCGTTATAAAATGCTACGCGAACGCTTTATGGTAATATACCACCACAAAACTCCATCTACTGCATAGTACACTAAAACGGCGGCTAGTAAAAGATGGATACAATGCATTAGGAATGAATGTAAAATTACTGTGATTTACTTGGTAGAAAAATACATCTTTGCGGTCAGTATCACTGGTGGCAAATTCTTCAAGCGTCCCTTCAGGGCTAATCCCATGTTCAGCGCATAGCTGCTTCCAAAACTCCATTCCAACTGAGGTATATGTAATAAAGAGAAAAGTTATCGAAAAGTTAGAGGGGCAATGACACCAGCAGTTAAGCACCAAGTGGATACATAACTTCACATAAAACTCCAGTAGTCACGTTAGACTATATGGGTAATTTATTTTATAGTGGATACGTGTATTAGCATCAACTATTAGTTATTATTTATGGGCAACCCTAAGTAAGATGCCTGTTTCCCAAAGTCATAATGTTACGCTAATACTAAGGTCTATAAGTCTATTTTCGCCAAAAAACTAGAACAAATAATGAGCAAGCCACCTTAAGCTGACTTCAGCCTTACAAACTATAATTATCTTGAGTCGCTACCTGACTTTGTTAGCCAGGAATATTTACTATTATTACATTTTTTAAATTTGTAGTGTATATAAATTGCTGGTGACTAACTGAGAATCAATTTGGGCAGAATTAGTGTGGGGAAGACTCCAAGAAACCATCCAGCTTTCTTCAATGGACATGAAGGTTCTCGTCCGGAAATGTTTGAAGTGGGTCGGCAGAAAATGCTACCTGTGTTGTTTATGTTTACACGACACTCACTGTCGTTATTCCAGTAACCAGCTAGCATTTTTTTCGGGCGCATTGCAGACTTTTTGGGGCAGACTTCGGGCGCATTGCAGACTTTTAGGGACAGACTTCGGGCCACTGTCCCACGTAAGTAGATCTACCCGAAGTTTTTGCCCCAAAAGGTCTGCAATCCGCCTGAAAAAATGCTAGCTGGGTACTAAAGAGTGTTGTTTTCATTTTCCTGGAGCTTCAGGTAGTTATCACGTAAAGGAAACCTGTAAAAATAAAAACTCATCTTGATTGGTCTTTCTTGTTTTACCGGAGTTTACCAAAGGAATCGTGTGTGATGACATAGTACTTTATTCACATTACATCAAAAACTAATCAAAGTCTAGCTGTGATTCTGCTTAAAACTCAGAATATGACAACAAAAATCAAAGTAAACATACTCTGATTCCCACATTGTCCCAACTGCAAAGTAATGATATCCCGCGGCATTGTAGCGCAACAACTGAATAAGCCTCAATTGGGACAAAAACAATTCAAAGTTATGATTGAAATGAAAACATTTATTTCCCGATATGAATTTAAAACAAGCAATAAAGGTTAATAAAGCAGGATTTAATGAATTCATCAAATTTCGGTAGAACTCGTTAGCTGAATACTCTACATACACGGATATATATACTTTTGAAATTACATTGGGAGATATAAGACTGATAAGTAAACAAACTACATTGAATTAGTCATGCAGAAAGACACGTGCGAATGTTTTACAGGTCGTGTTCAAATAGATAAGGCGAGAGAGAGTATGAGAGATCAAAATTGAAACGAAGACTCGACAAGGCCATCAAGAGAACTTATATGCTGCAAAACTTGTTATCCTTAACACCACCAAGCGAGTGCTTTAACAATCTGGGAAAGACCAGTCGCCAATCCTCGACACTTCAAACTGCATATACCAATTTGAGTGTGTTTGTGGCAGCAAATACATAGGTCGTACGGAAAGGCGATTGTCTACTCGCATGATGGAGCGTTTGCCAGAATGGTTGAAAACAGCTGAGTGCAAAGTGCCAAAATCCTCAATAACAAAACATCTTGTAGATTGCGGACATGATATCGACGCGGTCAAGTCATTCACTATTGTCAGCAAACAAAGAAACAAGAAGATGCTTGCAATCGCAGAGGCTTGTGCAATTCAAATTTATAAACCAGCTCTCTGTATACAAAAGGAGATGGTAGTGACTCTGAATCTACCATGGTAATACGCTTTACTTATTATTCTCTACTTGTTATTACTATTATTTTACCTCTTCTTCTTCTTGTTATTATTACCATTATTTTTATTCTTGATTTATTTAAAGCTATGCTTTATCCGTAAGATTATCTTAACTCACTTCAACACTATTAAAATTGTTATTATAACTATTACTATTGATATTAGTCTGTTTACAATTCTCGTTATATTCCCTTATGACTAAGTGTTTATCTAAGTGATGTAATTGAAGCTTAATGCAATTTGTCTTAATTTTGATCTCTCATACTCTCTCTCGCCTTATCTATTTGAACACGACCTGTAAAACATTCGCACGTGTCTTTCTGCATGACTAATTCAATGTAGTTTGTTTACTTATCAGTCTTATATCTCCCAATGTAATTTCAAAAGTATATATATCCGTGTATGTAGAGTATTCAGCTAACGAGTTCTACCGAAATTTGATGAATTCATTAAATCCTGCTTTATTAACCTTTATTGCTTGTTTTAAATTATGATTGGAAGGCTGAAATTGTCTGTCACGTACAAGGTCATTGGTGGAGTGAGACTCTCAAAGGTCATTTTCGTTCGTCTTAGTCGTCCATGTTGGATTGCAGTTCCGTAGCACATTGGTTTTTTCGTTTATCTTGCAGTTATTCACAACTTACCATGGTGCACATAGTTCACAAATGTTGTTTCACCTCATTTTTGTGTCTGTTGATGTTAAAATTATACATTTCGTTGGTTTCGAAAGCTTTTAGCACCAGGTTACTGCATTCATTTAATTGTAATTGTTTCGTACGTTTCATTCAAGCATGATTTCAGTGTTTTAGTTGTTTTTCAGCTATTTATAAAATGGAACAGTGTAGGAGTTTTGGAAATTATGCACATGAACATATTTGGGAGGCAGAAGCTATTGTTTCTAGTTCCTTTGTTGTGTGACGGTTTTGTTGCTGGCTCATTTGATTGTTGCGAGAGCAGGCTGCTAGCCAGTTGCCAGACAATTATTTAAGTCAATGTTTATGTCCAAAATATTCGTCGTAAGAAAATATGAACAAGACTGAATCAACAACGAATCACAGCAGACTTGCTGTGGGTAGAAGCAGTTAACATATAGACGACATTCTGGAAACAGTCACAAAGAGATGCAAGGTCAGATTGAGTGACAAGCGATTGCAGTGGTAATTGGTAGTGAGTAGATAAGACAATGTGCGTAGAGTATCATGAGTTGGCGCTATGGTCACGTTGCATTCTGCAAGAGTCATTCTAGCAAGTGGCGATTGTGTTGCAAGATGTCAAGAGGAGGTCTCTGTCTGGAGGCGCAGGTCGTCAGCGTTGTGTGAGATTGTGCTGTGGGTATGCTTGTGGTGTGTTGGCTTTTCTGTTTGTTTTCCATTTCAGCTCTGTCCGTGTGACTCAGGTTCTCGCAATGGCATCCAAGTCAACGTGTATTCTTCGTGAAGGAAAAAAGGGTTGGATCCATTTATTGCCGGGGAGTGCCAATGCAGTTGAAGATTGAACGATCAATTCATGGTTGTTTGCTGAAAACCAACTTCCCCAATTTTCGCGGAGGCATCAATACGACAGTCATCGTCTCATCGGTCGCTGTTCAGAAAGAAGAGTAAAACATCGTCAGAAGTAATATTATGATTTATTATTGTAATATTTGTTCACAGACCTTAGTTCACTTATTCTTTTTATATGTTGGTGTAACAATATAGAATACTCAAGTCAACAATTGGTGTTTTGGTTTATTCGTCCGTTGTTACTAAGCGTTTCTGAGAAACTTCAAGCGACAGCTTGAGCCCGAGCGTAGCAAGAGCTGGCCATTAACAGTTTACGAGACGTGACTGACACTTTGCGTAGGCGGACAGAGTTAACATATAACTGATCTGTTGCCTGGCCCTTGTCTTCTGTTTTTACACTATTATTCACACACTCACTCTCCGATGTTATCATTCCCAATGATACAAATCGCAAGGTTAGTATCTTTCGCGCTTTTTATACTCATAAGATTACTTGCAGATCAAATTCATACTAAATACGTCTACATTGCATGAAGTGCTGCAAATGTGTAACTTAGAAATTAATCCACAATCTCAGTAATGTCTAGTGAGCATAGTTTTATGAGTCCCACAGAAAATACATTCTCATATTTAGGAAAATATAGCAATCAAATGTAAGCTGAACATGCCTCAACTCTAAACAGCTATGCAGTGTTAACATATTGCTGCAGCATAGATAAGAACTTAAAATATTGTAGGATATACAGACCTATTGTGTTGATGAGGATAACAATGTCATATAATCCAACCTAGACATTCAATCGTGACACTACATTTGTACTGCTTTATGCAAATGGAAATTTCAGAAGAAATTCATCTCCACAAATGGTGATCAAAAAGAGTGGAGCATTAAGTATCCAGTTTCAGTGGGAGTGGTATAACAGACGGTAGATTAATAATAATAGAGCTAACTGGATTCAGTTCTCAAGATCAACACAATCCATGTGTATACTAATACCATAATAATCATATTAATAATAATTTACTTTATTCCAAAAGAGTACTTGTGATACAGAATGAAATTCTCTGCATTTTACTACAGTATCGTATGCAGTTAATACATAAACAATAAATAAAATTCTACATGGATTAAGGGCAATCTCAGTTAGTTTTGACAACAACATATTGGCATGCCGGTAGCAAAGCCAAAATTGAACAGTGTTTGAAGGTGTTAGAAAAGTAGATGCTAGCATATTTACTGGCGTAGGTGGTAACAAAAAGGTCAAGATCTACAGAGTGTGAAAGAACGAAGACGAATGTTTTAGATAGAGTTTCTAAGGAAGAAAGAAACAAAGTAGCGCATAACAGAAAAGAGAGAAAGGGAAAAGAAAAAGAAAACGTTGTACCTATAAATGATATGAGTTGGAAAGACGAGATCCAGTTGTTCTGCTGGCTATTTAATAATTTATAGTTATCACGCCTAATGCTTTCGTTATGGCACAGAACACGAGTCAGGTAGGGTATGGCTGAGTTTTTGTACTTGCCAGTGTGATCATATAATTTTCTATACAGGCTTCTGGTTCTGACTGATGAGATACAAGGGGAGAGTTGTGAATG